GCCCAAGATCAGTTGAAGTTTTGAAGAATGACAAATGAACTCAGTAAAGACCGGGTCCATCTTAGGAGACACAGTTGTTATGGCCCATGCACATGAGATGCACGTGAAGAAGATAAGTCCTTGGGGATCAAGCAGCAATATCTTCTGAATATCTTCTGACCTGATCGAAAAGATTGCATATGGGATAAGGAGAAGATGTCTCCTTATAAGAAGAGAACACATCCGGATAAGGGTTGGAGTTTGGATTGGTCTAGGACTCAAACTCAATGGAGGATCAGAAATTGAGTTACAATCCAACTCTAATTACTAATCTAATAAATAACTGAGTTGTTCTCTTTTACAGGTATGCACATACGCTGAAGTTAAGCAAAATTGAGAGCAAAAGAGCAAGGCTATTTTGCAAGCAATTTATGTGAGATTGAGTGTGCACGCCTGCAGCTACTTGAACAAGATAGAAGAACCAGTTCCATTGTGTTTATTCTTATTCTAGTTCAATTGTAGTAGGTGGTTTAATATTGTACCTTTCCAGCTTTCATAGAAGCAATTGTATTAGGTACTTTGAGTATTCAAATTAGAGTTAACTTGAAGGTGTCGCAACAGTTGAGGCTGTGTGCCACACTGGGATTAGAGTTTAATCCTTAGGTTTACAAGAGTTTGTAAATGCTGTTTTTGGCTCAGTGATTTTAGTGGAAGTTTAGGAAAATCTTACTGAGTAGTAGGTCGTGGTTTTTTTAACCTTTTGAGCCAGGTGTTTTCCACGTAAAAAATCTCTGTGTTCTTTACTTTATGCACTCTTAATTCCGCAAACAGTTATAGTAAGTACATCTAGAAGAACCAGGTTCTTCTAGTGCGAAAATTAGGTACCACATAAATCAAACCCCCCCCCCCCCTCTTGTGTGGTATTGACGTTTAGAACATCATATTGGCTGGAGAAATCAAGGATCACTGGATCTATCGATGGTAAAGAGGCTTCTACCGGGCCTAAGGTGAAATGATATGTGTATACGTTGAGCAAACCGGCTTTGTTCTTGGTTATGTCCTCTCCTCGTGAAGGAATCTCTACTTGCACCGCCTCCCCCCAACGGCAGTCGGCCTTCACCTTCTCGATTTCAGTTATTAAACTGATATATCGAGACATGGGTTCGCATTGTCCCGAAACAGAGGAGAGGTTATCCATTTGGAAATCAGAAGATGTATCACAAGGCCCAGGAGTACACTCCTCGATACTAGGAGACTACCGGTTTACCTTTGGTCGTTCGACGCATTTGGAAGTTTTAGTGATCTCTAAAGCGAAAGATCCAAGAAAATGGAAAATATTGTTAGAAAAGAGAAGGGAGAATTCAGGGAAATTGAAAAGGGCTAAATGAAATTTCGGAAGCACGGAGAGAGTAGAATCTGCGAGGTTATGAGGTTTGTCTGTTTATAGAGTTCATTTAAACGTATTGGGGAAGCTAAAAGGCCGACCGTCGGCCGCCTACAATTAATGATTTTCGGGAATCGTACAAAAAGTAACCCTTCAGTCACCTCAACCACTTATATTGTGATGATGACGTCAAGACCCAGGCATCAGGAACCAGTTTTGTCAGAAAGTACTAAGGACAATCTACGAGTCAGGTTCGAATAGACACTCATTCAACTATTTAGCCCAAGGGCTACCCGAGTTCAAGCAGGTTCTCACTCGGGGAATATTTATAAAGCCTCAGGGCTATCTTCCTCTCGAGTTCGAGCGAACGCTCACTCGATTATTTAGCCCAAGGGCTACCCGAGTTCGAGCAGGTTCTCACTCGGGGACTATTTATAAAGCATCAAGGCTATCTCTCTCTCGAGTTCGAGCGAATGCTCACTCGATTATTTAGCCCAAGGGCTACCCGAGTTCGAGCAGGTTCTCACTCGGGGAATATTTATAAAGCCTCTGGGCTATCTTCCTCTCGAGTTCAAGCGAATTCCCACTCGATTATTTAGCCCAAGGGCTACCCGAGTTCGAGCAGGTTCTCACTCGGGGACTATTTATAAAGCCTCGGGTCTATCTCTCTCTCTCGAGTACGAGTGAACGCTCACTCGATTATTTAGCCCAAGGGCTACCCGAGTTCGAGTAGGTTCTCACTCGGGGACTATTTATAAAGCCTCAGGGCTATCTCTCTCTCGAGTTCGAGCGAATGCTTACTCTATTATTTAGCCCAAGGGCTACCCAAGTTCGAGCAGGTTCTCATTCGGGGACTATTTATAAAGCCTCAGGGCTATCTCTCTCTCGAGTTCGAGCGAACGCTCACTCGATTATTTAGCCCAAGGGCTACCCGAGTTCAAGTAGGTTCTCACTCGGGGACTATTTATAAAGCCTCAGGGCTATCTCTCTCTCTCGAGTTCGAGCGAACGCTCACTCGATTATTTATCCCAAGGGCTACCCGAGTTCGAGCAGGTTCTTGCTCGGGGACTATTTATAAAGCCTTAGGGCTATCTTTTTCTCGAGTTCAAGCGAACGCTCACTCGATTATTTAGCCCAAGGGCTACCCGAGTTCGAGCAGGTTCTCACTCGGGGACTATTTATAAAGCTTCAGGGCTATCTTTATTTCAAGTACGAACAAATTTTCGCTCAATTACGGGCTTCCCAAGTTCAAGCAAAGTCTCAGTCGGGGATTATTTATAGAAAGCCTAAGGGCTATCTTTATTTCAATAATCGAGACCCTGCTATCACTCAATTCGGACCGAGATGTCCCGGCGACCTAAGTTCACATCAAATCAATCCAGGCTTAGTCCAAGGGATAACGAAGAGCTTCAAAGAATATCATATTAACCAATCAAAACCTAAGGGTTATTATGTCCGGGTCCAGGATTCGGACCAATCGATAGAGTCATGCACTTGAATTTTTCACAAACAAAGGTAGAATGGAGTTCAACACGAGTCGAAGGAAAAATGAGGAAACTCTTATATTAATAAAATACGATTACAAAAGCCTACGAAGGGCCCTTACACAGAAACAAAGAAGCAAAAAACAACAGTTAAAAGGCCTAATCTACTTTCGAGGGTATGTCCTCGGGAGCGACATCTTTGAGAACCGTTTCCTCGGGGACCTCATTTCGATCTTTAGAGCGTTGTCTTCGAGAACCTCCTCCAAAGCAGCAATAGATGAAGAAAAGGCTATAGCCTATCAAAGAGCAAAAATTTGTAACAAGAAAAGAAAATTGTGGCCTGGTGAAAAAACTCGGCGTGTATGGGTCTCGTCAGCACTACTATTGTGAAGTCACTTCTTGAGACGTTGCACCGGTGTGGGATGCAAAGTTGGTAGATAGTGCGACCTCACTCCACGGAAAGCAAAAGGGGTGAAGCGTCACACCAGGTTGAAGTTAAGAGAGATGAGCAGAAGTTTACAGTCCACATATCTTCTAATATGGGGAAAGTTTGAGACCCTCCTCTCATTGATTTGAGCCAACAACAACAATGTTCAGTATAATCCCACCTAGAGGGGAAAGGCTTTAAAAAAGAGCCATGGAATAACTGGTAAGGTTGCTGACTTATCACCTTGTGGTCACAGTTTTGGACCATAAGAACAAGAGATCGGAAGAGGATACAAATAAGGGAAAGGGCTGAAGACTGTTGAAGAAAGAATGATTGAAGCTTTGGTTCAAGAAACCCCCCATTTACAGAAAGAAGGCGACTAAACTGACGGCGCATTCAATGTTTTTGGGAAGCGGAGCGGCGGTGCATTCGATGCTTCTGGGGGAGTGAACCTACAGGACATTTCGATCGTTTCGAGCGCCTACATCACAAACGTGACGTCATCACGAGAGGTTCGAAAGAATCGAAGTCAAGATCGTTTCTTATCGTTTAACTCTAAGAAACGCGGGGACTATCTGTATACGGTCAGAATCAGGGAAGACCGATTTTGAGGTTCTATGGTATCTCGAGCCTGGCCTCGATAGGCTCGGAGCACGGTCCGGGGCTCGTCCCCGAAGCACTCGCCTCGAGAGGGTATATCGAAGACTCGTCATAGCATACCTCGAGGCAGCATGAAAGTCGACGACCATCATGGAAAGGCGAGAAATTTCCAAGGGCACGTGAGCGGAACTGCCAGGGCCTGCAAGAATAGGACAAATCAGTACTGAGCTATTATAAAGCTGTACCAATAGCCTTTTTCCGTCATTATTAGACATGTACTAAGTTGGGAACCCCTCCCCTCTCCTATATAAAGGGGACCCTTGTCATCTTGTAAGGGGATCGGATTATTAATGAACACATTGAATACAATATAACATTCTCTGCTCTTTGCTATCATAACTGTTCTTCACATTTATTGCTCATTAATTCATTGTTCATTCACGGTTCATGTGTTGTTCTTCATTTATTGCTTATTATTAATCACAAATGGCCATCTTTGAGGTTCTCATTATCATTGATTCTTCATCAATTTTTCATTGTTATTAGCCCCGTCTAGACCTCGAGGCCCTGCTCCAGCCAGCTCGAGGCCCAGCCTTGTGACCCTCTCGGTTTGCATTCCTTATTTTCTATACTTACGCTTAGCATCCATTGCCTAGCGACTAGTATTAAAAAAAATCACGTATTATTAGAACCACAATATCAAGTATAATTGTAGTTATCATTTTCAAGGTAAACATATAAAGTGACCAACAAGAGAGATTGCTGAGAAGTTTTTTTTAATGTCTTTCCCTTTAAAGCACAAACGTGAAAGATTAAAACAATTTTTTGGAGTCGGGGTCGATCTCATAAATGAACTAAATAGAATATGTGTATTCTTTTTTCTTAAGGTAATTATTTAGTAAGGTACTAGTACTATTTTTAGTTTTTATTTTATTTTATTCTATTAAAGAAAAGAAAACAAAATACTACTCGCTACAGAAAATAAAAATAAAATACAAAAGATAGAAAAAAGAAAAAAAACCTATACTAGTACTAGTAGAAGAGTAACTCTCAATAAGACGAAGTTTGTGACTTTCGCAATACACGCAGTCATCTTTCCTCTCCATAGCAAAAGTGAAACTCTCAAATGGAATCTGAATCCTCCCATCAGCACCCAATGCACAGCAAACTCACAAACCATGACTCAATCTTGACAATCCCAATTCTACCAGCAGAACTCGTTATTGAAATCCTCTCAAGGCTTCCTATGAAGTCCCTCTTGCAATTCACGTGTGTATCGAAATCTTGGCTTTCATTGATCTCTAGCCCTGAATTTATCAAAACCCATCTCAGTTTATCCGCTAATAACAAGGGCTACACCCACCATAAGGTTATGATGAGTTCCTACTCTCGTCTTACGTCCAATGTTAAAGTATGTAGTCTTAGGTCTTTATTTTATGATTCTATTACCGAGGCTTTTGACTTGGATTGTCCCATGTTATCATATGAAAGATACAGGTACGATGAAGTTTCTTTTATAGTTTCTGTCAATGGATTGATTTGTCTTCTCATTCGGGACAATGACTATTTTATATGGAATCCATCAATCAGAAAGTACAAGAAATTACCTAAACCTAGAACTACGAAGTTGGTCATTTACCGAACAGTATCTGGTTTTGGATATGATGAGTTCCATGATGATTATAAGGTGGTAATGGTTAATTTTTATGATTGTGCTGACGATGGTGAGGTCAAAATATATAGTCTAAAGAGTGATTCTTGGAGAAGTGTTGATAATGGTGGCCGGGTGCTAGCAAATGGTCAAGGGATGTTTGTCAATGGAAAACTTCATTGGGCTGCTAGTGATGGTTATTGTTTTAATCATAAGAGCAAAATCATCATGACTTCATTAAAGAATCTTGGATGAAGATATTGACCACCGAGTATCATGTTAATGATTTTTTGAGTCCGAATTTTTTCGTGTCAAATAAAGCTGAAATTTTGGTTATGCATGGATTAACTTTCAGGATATACAATATGAAGGATGGCTCGTTCAAAATCCCTAAGTTTATTAATTTTGATTGCGATTGCAAGGCGAAAATATACCTTGAAAGTCTAGTTTGTCCTTTTTCTACAAGAAGGGATTGAGGATGCAAAGGAAAAGGCATAGATCAAATCAATCGAGTAACAAATAACTTGTGAGAGTACTTTTCTTCTCAAGTTCTTTTAATTTCTGTTTGTTATTTTAAATATAGAAAATACACATAAGTAAAGGATATCTTAATAGGAGATCTTGTTAGTCAATTTTCCTTTATGCAGTATTTCAAGGAACACTAATTTTGTGTTCAACTTCAAACTAAATGGCTCTACACATTTTTTTGTATTCTTGAGTAGTGTTTTGAGGGAGTGTTATGCCTCTAGATAGAGAAAAATAAAGAGCACAGTGATATAGGGGTGTTGGTCAGTCGGTACGGTACGGTATTTAGATATTTCGATTCGATATTTTCGGTATTCAGTTTCTTAAAATGCAATACCAATACCGTACCTAATTAGATTCGGTATGGTTCGATTTTTCTCCTTTCGATTTCGGTTTATTCGGTTTGAATACTAACTAGTGCATAAAGTCATAGACTATAATATTCTAAATTAAAGTACTCAAAAGTACAAAATTAAAAACACTTGTTGACAAAATGTTGTCCAAAACTAGCAAATATCAACTTAGAGAGATATAGAGAGAGAGAAAACTGTACATAAAAGAATAAATTTGATCATTAGAAATGTCTTGTTACTTGCTTAGAGTTAATTGATGAATTTAGAGAATAAAGGAAAGTAAAATTTAAAATTTAAATATTTATTTTATAATCAATAATATGTGTATTGTGTAGTATAATTTATATTTCGGTACGGTATCAGTATTTCGGTATTTATTTTAAAATACCAAATAGCATACCTAATACCTATATTTTCAAACTTAAACCAAATACCATACCGAATACCAAAATAACGAATGCCAAATACCAAAACTTTCGATTTCGATACAGTAATTTGGTATTTACCAAATTATGCACAGCCCTACAGTGATATGCAACTTGTGGCAGCTAAATGGTCAATAACTTTGTTTGGTTGGTTTGGTTGAAAATGTGGATAGGAGAAGATTTAGAAAATTTTGGTTTATCATTTTTTGGTAATTTTGTTTTCCTTGCTACTAATAGCTAACCATTTATTTTAGGCCAAATATAAAAACAGACACTCAAACTTGGCCTCAGCTGACAAGTAAGCACTTCAACTTTGCATATATAGACACTTCATTTAACACGGGTGTATCTCATAGAAACTCACTACGTGTGTGTTATCTTCACATTTGGCTGCGTGAGATGTTATTCCATAGCCTTTCATGATGTTGTTCTTTTACTAAATGGCTAGTGATGAATGTTCCTTTACTTTGTTAGTGATATGTTGACATAGGCAAAGACTGCATTGCAAGGAGAAAGCATTTTTCGGAGAAGAATTAACTCAAATAGCCGTACATTTAATTCGTTAAACAAAAAATAATCGGTGGATGTATCATATATGTATAATGCATGTGCAATATATAACTGTATATAATCAATGTATAACTTATGAATACCGGCTAGAAAAAATAAACAATGAATTTGACCAGCTATTTGTGTATCAAAGCTAATATTAACTATTATGTGCGGTATCAAAGGATGTATAAGCAAGAGAGTTTGGGATGAACTTCTATTAACATTGTGTCATCTATATTATCTTTTAGCAAAAATTAGACCAATGGACGATTTTATTATTTAGGAAGTATCATTATGTGAGAAATTTTCTCTGTAACACATTAATTATTCCTTTTCATTAACCTGACAACAAACTTATATCCATCAATACTTTCAAGCTTAACAAATTTTAAAAATTAAAAAGAATAAAAAAAAATGAGTCCGTAAATCTTCAACATAAAATGCAATAGGTAATATGAAACCTTAACAATGATATTCACATTATTAAGAAACCAGTCTTATGTTACAGGCGTTGCGCGTGTACTTCATCTCGATGAGTAAGTTATAAAAGATAATCACATAAATAATATATTAAAAATTATGTTAGAGTTATAAAATAAAGGTAATAAACGAAATTTAATCCATTTAAAAGTTCTAACTATTAGTGAAAATATATAGATGAAGTAAAAAAACATAACTAACGCTAATCTCGAAAATGTTAGGAATTTCTAATATTTCCAAAAAGGTAAATAGGAAACAAAATTTTTGTTGGTATTAAACTTGACAATTTTAATTGATTTCTTTGATGCTCGATGTTGAAACAACCTAAAAGCTTCTTAGCTTCGCGTACTTATATGATGTTTGTATGAGAAGGATTAAAATAAAATAACTTAAAAGGCACTAGTCCAATGTTAATCAACGAAAGGATTGATATTAATGTTCATAGAATATAAAATAATATACTCATGGCTTGTGACGACCCATTTGGTCGTCTCATGAGTTACCGCTCTGTTTTTCCCATTTCTGCTTCTATTTGCTTTAATTATCGATTTTATATGTGATCGGGCTGGTTGGTTCAGGTCCGGAAAGGTTTTGAGAAGGTTTGAGACACTTAGTCTCATTTAAGAAAGTTTAAGTTGGAAAAGTCGACCGGATGTTGACTTATGTGTTAGAAGGCTCGGATGTGAGTTCCGATGGTTCGGATAGCTTCGGGAGATGATTTGGGACTTAGGAGCGTGATTGAAATGTGTTTTGGAGGTCCGGAGTAGATTTAGGCTTGAATTGGCGAAATTGAGTTTTTGGCATTTTCCGGTTGATAGGTGAGATTTTGATATAGGGGTCGGAATGGAATTCCCAAAGTTGTAGCTCCGTTATGGCATTTGGGATGTGTGTACAAAATTTCAGGTCATTTGGACGTGGTTTGGTTGGGTTTTTGATCAAAAGCGGAATGCGGAAGAATTTATAACCTTAGGCTTGAATTCAATGAGTTTTGGTGATTTTGATGTCGTTTGAGGTGTTTTGAAGATTGGTACAAGTTTGAATAAGGTTATGGGATAAGTTTGTGCTTTTGGTTAAGGTCCCGGAGGCCTCGGGGTAATTTCGGATGGTTGACGGGGAGTTTGAGAAATTGTTGCAGCTGCAGATTGTACTGCTTCTGGTAGTTCCGCACCTGCGGATTGGGGACGCAGGTGCGACGCCGCATATGTGAGAGAGGAGCCGCAGAAGCGGAAGGGAGCTAGGAAGACAGAAAGCCGCAGATGCGATTGGAGGAACCGCACCTGCGATGGCGCAGGTGCGGATATGGAACCGCAGATGCGGGAAACGCGGATTTAAGTGGGGACTGCAGATGCGGCGCTCTTGACCGCAGAAGCGGTACTGCAGATGCGTTGAAATGGCCGCAGATACGGAAATGTCTGGACAGAAAATATAAGTCAGTTCCTTCGCGAGTTTCAGAAGGTTTTCTCACTTTTAAACACGAATTTGAGAGCTTTGGGCGATTTTGAAGAGAGAATTCAAGGAGAACTCATTGAGGTAAGAATTTTGGACATAAAAACTCGATTCTATGGTGTTAATGCATGGATTAGAGTTGTAATTAAAGGTAAAGTTTGAGAAACTAGGGCTTAGAAACCTAGGCCGTTGATTGAGGTTTTGGAAGATCATTTGTGGTCGGATTTTGAAACTTTTTATATGTATGAACTCGTGGGGAGATAAGGAATCTAATGATGTTATTTTTAGCGAATTCCGAGACGTGGGCCCGGGGGCTGAGTTTTGGTAATTTCGGGATTTGTGATGTTTTTCGAATAATTTCGAGTGGGCTTTATCCCTTTAGCATAGATTAATGGTTACGTTCTGATTTTGGTAGATTCGGAGCATCCGGAGATCGATTCGAAGGGCAAGGGCATGGCGAGCTAAACTTCGGGCCGGATTGAGGTGAGTAATGCTTTTAAATGCTGTCCTGAGGGTATGAAACCCCGGAATTTCACAGCGTTCGGCTATGTTGAGGTGAGACACATGCTAAATGACGAGCGTGGGGTCGAGAACCGTTGGGGATTGTGACTTAGTCCATCCCGAATGACTATTTTACTGCGTATTGATAGTTATTTGTTGATATTATTATATTTTAGGCTAAATGCCATATGTGGGCTTCATGCCAACTGTTTAAAACCCTTTAAATGATATTTTCAAAGATATTTGAGCTGAGCTTCATATTTTACTGTTGCCCGAGGGGCTTATGAGATTCTGACTGAGTAAGGCCGAGGGCCTGTGTTGTGAGGATACTTTTGGGTCGGGCTGCACGCCGCAGCAGTGATATACTGATTATGATAATGAGGCCGAGGGCTTGAGATTATACGCCACGAGGTGGCTTGAGATTGATATGAGGCCGAAAGCCTGTTTATGATGCCACGAGATGGCTTGATATTGCGCTTGGGCCGTAAGGGGCCCCTCCCGGAGTCTGTACACCCCCAGTGAGCGCGGGTACCCATTGTGATATAAGATATAGCCCGAGGGGCTGGTATTGTTCTGTGATATTGCCTAAGGGGCTGATTCTGTCGTTGTTACTGAGCCCGAGGGGCAGTTCTTGTGTGTTTACCTTTCTAGCTGCTTTTCCTTTAATTGTTTAACTGCTTAAAAGATGATTATGAGATTTCCCTACTTAATTATATTTACTGATTTTACTGTGCCTCTAATAGTTGAATGTTGTGTTTAACGTGATTTTATATCGCTTAGTCTTTATTTAATTTTATTACTCACTGAGTTGGAGTACTCACTTTACTCCCTGCACCCATGTGTGCAGATTCGGGCGCTACAGGTCCTGCTACTGAGGGTTGATAGTTCCAGCAGATCTTCGGAGATTTACTAGGTAGATGCTTGGTGATTCGCAGCCCAATCCATTCTCCCTCTATCTTAGTTCTTTTTGATT